CCAAGACTTGAACTTTGGTCCTCAGACTCCAAATCCAGTGTGTTTTCCACAGCCTTTAAGAGCATCAGAGAAGGGCGGGAGGAAAATGATACACAGAGAGAAGGAAAGTGATTAACCATCAGAATCTGCAAAATATCCCAGCACAGGAATTCTCAGACATTCTTGGACCACTGACCACTTCAGCCTGGTAGAATATCATTATGATATACTCTGCCTCTCTTCCTCACTTCAAGACTGCAAAAGACCTGTGTTTTCAACAATGCAGATTATAACCTCTTCCATACTTTAGCAATTTTGATTTTCGTTAGTTGTTGTGGCCAAATTTCATCAGCCTCTCTGAACTTTACTAAATAGTCATTCACCACCAAGCTCACACCTGAAGCCTTTGTAACTTGATACGAGTGCCAGCAGTTTTGATCCACCAGCATAGTGAATTCTCTTTGGAGAATTCAAGTATCCCTTCCATAATCTGGGGCATCAGAGCAGACTTTTAATGAAGATTCTCTTACTTATTAGGGGAAAAAAACTCACCAGAATGAAAGTGTGAATGAGAAGTGAAGGCCTTAGTGAGAGATAGTAGTGAGTGACATAATGATAGTAATGAATTTATGATGAATATTTATACTTTATTTATTTATTATATTTAGAATTATATAATTATATTTAGAATTTATAATGAATATATTTATGCAGAATTATAGAATGTCAGATTTGGAAGGGCCCTCAGTGGCTGTCTAGTCCAACTTATATCTGAAAAAAGAACCTACTAATTACCAATGAAAAGAAACTCAATTTTAAAAGAACATTTCTTTGTTTCCTCATAATAACCTTTAAGACAAGCAGACTGAGTATTATCTTCATTTTACAGATGAGGAAACTGAGGCTTAAAGTTGTTAAATGATTTGCCTAGGATGACAAGAGTTTTTAAGTTGCAAAACTGAAACTAGAATTTCCTCCTTTTCCCACTACACCACGATATCTGAAAGAAAAATATGAAACATTGCCATATTTTTATATATAATTTAAGACAGCTCCCACCCACAGCCCTCCAAGAGGAGGCTCACGGATGATAGTTTAGGAACTGCCACCTTATGTTTAGAATCTCGTGTTAATGAGCACCAGCTTTGGGTTATGTTCAAGGTTTTGGTTTCCCAACTGCAAAACCTATAACATCTGCTATTGCTAGAGGTTGTGTCCATGCAAAGCAGCTATGTTCATAACACCTTTTTAATTGTTTTAAATTCAGCATCCTACAATCCTTATGTGAATTAACACAGCAGCAACTGCTGGAGTTAATTATAGAACCCTCTTCATTAGACAAGAGAAGTTACCAGCTGCCAACACAGGCTTAGCCTCATTGACTAGGGTGGCAGGAGTAAAAAACAGCATCATTCAATACACCATTTCTTGGCTAGAAGGTCACTTTGTTGTCAAAAAATGAAAGCGCAATGGGGTTTCAATAGCCACGGCCTACTTCCACAGGTTCAGAAAAATCTATCATGTTTAGCCCCATTTTATAGTACTTCCAATCTAACTAAGACTTGGGTACTCTGCAAATGATGAAGTCATGAATTATTAAGGAAGGTCATTAACAAAGAGGAAGAAGAAATTACATGTAGTTTTTAAATCACTGATGATGTTTTGATCATTTGTCACCAGCTTCTATACCACTGGAGAAAAACAAAAACGGGAAAATCAGTGAGAAGATGTTAAATTACAGAGTTGGCGAAATATTGGACAGTGTGTGCTCCAAGACCCAGCAAATGTGCAATTAGCACTGAATTCCCCACAGGAGGTTTCCTTTTTCACCTTCAAACATGCCAAGGAAAATAACTGCTGCTTCTAGTGTATTTAAACATCCTCCATCACCCCAACCATCTAAGCCCTGTGCTGACCTTTGCATTCTTTAAAGTAAATATTATAAAACAGCTAGAAATCTCATCTGGTTCCCTCTAGCTAGTTCCTGCAGGTGTATAAACATTATCCAGTTCATGCAAACTAATAGGCTTTCTGCCCTGGCTGAAGTCACCAGTGATTTCCATTAAGGTTAATAATGTTTCCCATTAAAAAAAGAATTTATAGTTCAGTTATTTTAAAGGCAGTTTGGGAGGGTTTTTCCTCTAAACTACTAAATTAAATGAATTTTCAGCCAATTATCACTTGTCCAGATGACCAGCACATTGTTCTTGAAAGAATATAACACGTGGCAAACCATTAGTCTTCTCAAAGCCTTAGCTAGCATCTCCTCCTGTTAGGAAAGGAAGGGAAGGGAGAAGATGCTCACATGATTGGGAAACCACTTAAACTGAGAAAAAGGAGCTTGGTAAAGTGAAAAAACAGAACTGGGTTTATTACCAGAGGACCTGGATCAAAATCATGCCTTTTCCTATTCTCTTAACCTCCCTTGGCCTCAGCTGCCTTGCCTATAAAATGAGGGAATTGGATTAGATTGTCTCTAATGTCCCTCTCATTTCTAAATTTACCATTCTTGATTCTAACATTAAAAATATATTGAGAGGGAAAGGTGATTCATCACATCTTAGCATGTGAATCATAAAATCTTATGCTTATTAGTCAAGTAAATCAAGAGTTAATTTAATTTTTGAACCTATATAAATATTTGCAAGCTCTGTAGAGACAGGAACTATACAGTATTTTATTTACCTTTCCACGTCTCCCATCTTTACATACCTAAGCTGCTTAAAGCCTATTTGTTGCCAGAACTTGCCAGAAGATAGCACGTGAATAGCAGTTTACGACTGATATCTGTAAAAAAAAATTAAATTAAAGTAAAGTAAATTAAATTAAATTAAATTAAAAATTGAAGCTAATGTCCAGGTTTGGTTTTTTGTTTTGTTGTTGTTTTCAGTGGAGATGGTCCTATACTAGAGCATATAAAATTAGCACTGGACTAAACATATTTTGATAGTGTTTTTTTAACAGAAATCTAAAAAATAAATAAAAATGCTGATCTTCAGCCTAGAAGTGAAATTAGTTATAGAAGCTAAAAGTCATCTGTGATTCTTCCTCTCCCCTGTCCCATAAATCGAATCTGCTGCTAAGTCCTTTCATATTTTGATTTTGAACTCTGTTTTAGATTCAACCCAACTGAAAAAACACTGGTTAAATCCCTATTAAGTTCAAAGCTAGGCATTAGAGATAAAAGGTGGGAAACCAAAAGCCAACCCTGCCCTCAAGGAGCCTATATTCTGTTAAGTGGATGCAATAGGACATTTATGAGTATAACCCAGAGCTCAAGCCCAGCATTTGCCTTAAGCCTCTAGGAATTGACGGGAGAGAATGTTTAGTCATGATTGCATAAGTAAAAGTGAGATAATTTGAGAAGGGACAAAATAGCTAGCAAGTAAGGGAGGAGGGGCACAAAAAAGGGTAAAACAGAAAAGGCTCCGCATGAAAAGTGACAGAAGCTAAAGAATGGAGGCCAGACTTCTTGTTGTTGTTGTTGTTTATCCTTTGTTTTCAAAGAGGACCATCGTATCAGGAAGGTGATGTCATGACTTGTGAGAGGATAGACTACTTGAAGGCAGACAGGACACCAAGTTCAGAGAACAGATCAGTAGGACTGTTTGGCTGAAATAGAAAGTTGTAAAAGGGAATAATATGAAATAAGCCTGGAAAGGTAGGAGCCAGATAGTAGTGGGTTTTAAATGTTTGACTAAGAGAGTTGTGTTTTATCTTAGAAATAATAGGGATCCATTGAAAGTTCTGGAACAGGCAAGTGGCATGGTCAGATATTTGACTTATGTAGGCTACTTTGGCACTTATTGGTTATCTCTACAAAGGATAGGTTGGAAAGATTAAAGACTTCCCAATTTCCATTGCGGCTAACGCTTACCCAGGCCTTGACCACCTCACGACTGAATTGTTTCCTTCATTTCATCCTAATCATTTCCCAACTTTAGTCTCCTCCTTCAATCCATCCTACATGCTATTCTCAGAATAACTGAAAACATTGCTTTCATCATAGTACTTCTTTCACAAGAATCAATGAATCTCACAGTCAGAAAGAACCTTAGATATCATCTAATCTAACTGCTTCCTGAACAAAGATGCCCCCTCCCTTATTTTTTAGCCTTTAGTAACTTGATTGTAAAAAACAATGTTGAAATATGTTGACAGAAAATCTAGTGAAGCATATATGCATGTCTGTATCACATGTCTCACATATGGTGATATTATATGTATTATTTCTGTCCTTTCTAGTGACCCATTTTATTACTTCTCTTTTATTCCCACCATAGGATGGGACACATTGACCTAAAAACTTGAGCCACTAGGTAACATACAACCTTCAAACAGTTTCCTCAGGGTATCCTTGCCTTCCTTGTTTCTCAGGCTGATATATATATATATATCCAATCAGTCAGAAAGTATTGATTAAGCACTTAGTATGTATCAGACGGTGTGCTAAGTCCTGAGGATACAAAGAAAAAGCAAAGTCAGCACCTGTCCCCAAGGAGCTTACGTTCTATTGAAGGAAACATGTACATTAGCAGATATATACAAGATACATATAGAATAGATATAAACTAACTTTAGAGAAAGAGGTATTAGCTGCTGGGAGGTACAGCAGGGGAGAAGGTGCATGTTCCTCATCTCAAATCTAAATCTGCCCCTCTATTTTTTCCACCATTGCTCTGCCCTCTGGAGTCCAAGCAAGTTTAACAAGCGTAATTATCTTCTCTGCAAGTTTGAGGCTTCTAGGTATCACAGTGTATAGAGTGCTGGGCCTGTACTCAGGAAGTCAAATCCTGTCTCAGACATTTACTAGCTGTATGACTCTGGGCAAGTCACTTAACCTCTGTCAACCTCAGCTTCTTCAACTATAAAATGGTGATTAAAAATAGAACCTGCCTTCCTGGGGTTGTTATGAAGGTCAAATGAGATAATAGTTGTGAAAAATATTTAGCACTGTGACTGGCATATAGGAGGCACTTATTAAATGTTTCCTTCCTTCCAACATGAAAACCTTTTACAACCTTGAAGATAACAATCAGGTCCCCAGTTAAGACTTCTCTTCTTCAGGCTTAATATCCCCAGTTCTTCTAGCAGTCCTCATAAGGGCTCATGTCAAGGCCTTTCATCACCCTGGTCACCTTCTTTTGGATGATCTCCAGCGTACCAATGTCCTAACCAAAAATATGGTAGGCAAAACTGAATACCATATTGTCTGATCAGAGCACTGTATGGCAGTAGATTCAAACACCCTCTTTCCCCATTCCTGAATCTTAGCAGGCAAAAATCACATTGGATTTTTAGCTGTTATACACCACTGATTCATTGACCTTTTCAGATTAAATGCCTTCTAACCAAGCTTTGCCCATCTAGTACTTACCATTTTTTTTACCCAAATGTGAGACTTTAACATCTATCCCTATTAAACTGTACCATTTGGTTTGGGCCAATGTTCTAGCCCAGTGATGTCAAACAAATAGAAACAAATCCCCCCTGACCCACATATTGACCTAGAAAACCACAAATTAACATTATCTATGTTATATTGTATTTTTATTCTGTTAAACATTTCCCAATTACATTTAATCAGATTCTGCCTGCTCAAGGGAGTTTTGCACTAGAGTTTGACACCTCTGTTCTATCTAGCCCGAGGGATTGAACTAGGTTGGTGCCCATGTGACTGGAGAGAAGACAGATGGGAAGGATGTTGTGGAGAGGGAATTGGCTAGGCTGGCAACAGTTGATATGAGAGAACCTGAGTTGGAGGCATAGAGTTGGAGACAACTGGTCCATTGCTGGGTGACACTACAGTGATGGGAAGTGATTTTTTTTTCCCCCCTCTCCTTGAGCTCACTGTTGTTTTGTACCTTCTGATATCACACTGTTATCTGTAATAGTGATTTCTGAAGTAGCTTCTCCTGTGATGAAATAGTTGTTTTGAAAGCCTCCCTGATTTACTGATACTGAAGAGAAATGCTGGGTGCCAGATGGCATAGAAGATAATAGTCATCATCATAAAAATAACAATAATAATATATTAATGCTGTCCTCAATTCCCAAAGCATCAGCATTACCAATCACTCAAGAGTATTCTCCTGGTGAGATTTATAGCCAGAGATATACTATAAAGAATTTTCAGAAACAAAGGTGAGGAGTACAAAAAAGGATTGGAAGGACGAAAGGTGAAAAATATGCAAAAGCATACACTCAGGAATCTCAAAAGGCTCTCCCATGTCCTAATTCACCCTGAGAACACACATTTTCATAAGCAGAGTTGCCAGTGTTCAGACAAATATAAAACTGTATATATTATCACCACTTAAAATGTGATGTTGTAACTCCCTGCTCATGTGCAGAAAACATGAGACAGTCTGGACCTGCACATAAGGCTTCTGGTACCCCCACTACCTTGCTGATGACCATGCTAATGAGGGAGAGGGCTGAGTCAACAAGAACACACAAGCAAACCTAGTTTCTGTGGTGTCAAATCCTCTCACCTACGCCTGGCATAGAGACTGTGTGCCCTAAACCACTGGCTGTTTGAATAACTCAGCCATCATACAACACCCAGCCTCTCTCCGTGTAGGTGAAAGGTTCTACATCCTATCACCAAAGCCCTGAGCCGTCCAAAGGCCCTTTCAAATCTTGACAAATGGGCATATGCAATCTCAACTAGGAAGACTCTGGGACTGGAATCTTTCCATTTTTGCTTGTGGATGAATAATTTAGCACTTCATCTAAAAGAGATCTCAATTAGAATTAGTCAAATTCCCTTGCATAAAGGAGATAACCTCATTTTTCCAGAGAGAGGGCTAGACTACTATGGTAGAACACACCTAGTTCTTTTTTTCTCCAGTATCAAAGCATGGTCCTTGGCTGAGCATCTCTTTCAGAGAAGAAGCACTGCAGAGCAAAACCCTGCCCTTACTTAACCTCTTCTGTTTATCAGGACAAAGATTGTTTTTTTTTTCCCCTGTAGTCTGTGGCTCTTTGTAGCTCTTGAAAAGCCCTCCAATCATAATGACAACAATAGACACAGAAATAGGGATTTAGGCCCTCAGCTAGAAAAAAACGATACTAGGCAAAATACTGAGGAACCAGCATGATATAATGGAAAGAGTGCTGGATTTGGAGTCAGAAGACAAGGGTTCAAATCCTGGCTCTGCCACTTACTGTGGGGAAAGGTCATAGCATCTCTGAGCCTCAGTTTCCTCAATTCTAAAATGAAGAAGTTGAAATAGATGACCTCAAAGCTTCCTTTGCAGTCTGAAGCTACAACCACATGGGAGGCGGGCGGAAAGAAGGTTGCCAGAGACTTAGGTCCCAAAAATGAGGTATTCTTAACCTTTTTTAAAGTGCGTCATAGACCTCTTCGGGAGTCTGATGAAGCCTACAGACCTCTTTTCAGAACAATGTTTTGAAATTCACAAGATAAAACCTAAAAGATTACAAAGAAAATGAATTATTTTGAAATACTTTTCAAAATATAATTTAAAAAATAAGTTCATGGCCCCCAGTTAATATTCCTGCCATTAGATCCTTGAGGGGGGAAAAACAAGAAGCAATTTAATTATTTCAATAACACAAATCTTTCGTGTTTTTAGTATGGAGTGCCTATTATTGATGTCACATAGTATTGATATGGCTCTAAAATTGTTTCCCTATAACAGAAAATAACAGACAACAAACAAGGACCTACAAATACTCAACACACAACACACCAACTCAAGATGACAGTCAGTTTTTTCAACCCAAAAGAAAAAGGAGCACATGGACAGTCAGGTTGCCAGACTCCCAGGCCAGGAGTTTATCTATGCAACTGCTCTGCCTCAAATAAGACATGGCTTTTTAGAAATTGCTTTGTCATTTTCACTGGAAGGGATAGAAGCAGGTTTCACACCTCCCCCAGCCTTCTCATCCCACCTTCTGCCAAAGGGAAGCAGTCTCTAAAGATGACTCACTGGTGGGAGAAGGTGAAAATAATTCTGTGGGTGCTGAAAATCTTAGCTAGACAGAAAAGACTGTGTGATTAAGCTTGTCCCCAGGATGTCGGTGGGAAATGAAGCCTCCCCACAATTTAGGACACACTTGGACTCCTTGGGTTGCAACTCAGAGAGAGATAAGTGCATTCACATTTCTCCCTTTTTTTTCCTTCCAGATATGTGATTTCATTGGTGTGTTTCAACTCCCTCTATTGATGAATTATAGTCATCCGCAATCAGCAGTCTTAGAAGCTTGTCTGAAACACTGGCGGGTTAAATGACTTGTCCCTGGCCACACAGATAGTATGTGTCAAAGGCAAGACTTGAACCCAGGTTGTCCTGACGCCAAAGCTGACTCCCCAGCAGACCACACCATTTCTCACATTTTCCTTATGTGTTAAACATTCTGCTTTGCACCAAAGGACTGAATGAAAAGAATGTAGCAAGTTACTTCAAGAATCAGAAAATAAATTGGCATTTCATGGGAAGTAAAGTATAGGAAGGGGGTTTAAAACTAAAGTTTGTCCTGGTGATATGATGTCCATGGTGAGGAAAGGTTATCTCTGAGCGTACCTTCAAGTTCAGAGGCACAGAGTAGGGCTAGGATTTTTCCAGGCTCCCTAATTCAGGGTACGATTCTGTGAGAGATTCCCACCCCTAAGTCTTTGCCATGGCTGAATAATCCATTACTAGGGAATATGAGCCTGGTAACTGTATCCATCTGTCATCAGCCTTCTACTTCACCCCTAGTGCTATCACTTCCAAAAGCAAAAACTTCACTAAGGCAGGGAATAACTTCGTCACCCTGTGAAATACTGACGAACCAGCTACCACTTAGTATCTGTCAAGTCCAAATGTCCTGAAGTGAATGAAGTGTCATAAGGGCAGGAAAGTAGAATCTTGCAGGATTTCTTTTTTACATTTGAGCCTTTGGATTTCATCAAGTTGATGCAACCACAAAGTCCTTCCCTGTAATTCCTTTACCCCTATTCTTAAACTATTTTTCAAGTATGTCTTACTCTTTGTGACCCCATTTAGGGTTCTCTTGGCAAAGATACTGGAGTGGTTTGCTACTTCCTTCTCCAGCTCATTTTATAGAGGAGGAAACTGAGGCAAATAAGGTAAAGTGACTTGCCCAGGGTCATACAGCTAGTAAGTATCTGCGGTGAGATCTGAACTCAAGAAGAGTAGTCTTCCTGATTCTAGGCCCAGTACTGGTTGTGACCCTGTCCCAAGAAGTCCTAGAAAAAGTGACAGGACCTGCTACAAAATATGTTGTTTTCCCAGAGATCTCAGTTCTAAATATTTTTATTTTTTTAATTTCATTTTATGGGTTCTACCTCCATCCTTAGATTATACAACCATCTTCATTACTAGGGGTGTTCCTTATAAATTCGCCACCTGAAGCCACGATAAAAGTTGTCTTATGCTTCCCAAATTAAATTACACAGGCTTCTCAAACAGAAGATTGTAATTTATGATGAAATTCTAAAGGAGCTTCCATAACAGATTAAAAGTTCACTTGCTCTTCACAATTGCATACATGGCATAGATTAATGGTCAAATAGGAGGAGTAATCCAAGAGATTAAACAGTTGCTATGCTGCTATACCACAAATCTATAGCAGGGTTGGGCAGACTTCTTACCCACGACCAAGTCTCACTGCAACTACCCGAAAGCTTCCGCATTCAAACAATCCACGTGGGTATCCTCTGTACCTCTGCATGGTTTATATTAAAAGGACATAGCATTGCCTGCTTTGGAAACATAGGATTGACATGAAAAGAGTCAAATGACACAGTGGATAGAGCATGGGACTTGGAATCAAGAAAAACTGAGTTTGAATCCTGCTTCAGACACTTATTAGCTGTAAGACCCTGGGCAAGGTTCTTAACCCCTTTGTGCCTTAGTTTCCTTCTCTGTTAAATGGTGACAGTAATAGTCCACAGGGATATTGAAAGAATCAAATGACTAACATATGTAAAGTACTCTGCAAACCTTACAGAACTATATAAATGCTAGCTATTATTATTATTATTATTGTTGTTATTGTTGTTATTATTATTATTATTATTATTGTGTACAGGTAGGGCTGTGTGGAAACCAACAAGTTCAATCATAGGAGTCTACCTGAGAGTAGGAGGGCTAGCAAAGAGAACTGAGCTCCCATTAGAGCTAGGAGACTAGACCAT